CTGGGTCCACTTAAAGTCAATTTGTTTCCCACCTCAGTTTTTACCTGGGGCACAGGTGAGGAAATCTAAAGTGAGCAGTGTAAGTCCAAGAGGGTGGTCTTCACTCCTGGACAGAGAGGGGAGGAAGTGGCCCCATGATGACATAGAACCACTTATGCGGGCTGCACACAAAGTGGTGTAGAAATGGGAGGAAGGGAAGGCAGAAGAGGCAGAGTACTGAGTACTCAGAGTACTGCCAGAAGGCAGAGAAAAAGGATTCCTGGTTCTTAAACTTGGCTTTGGCTTATCAGCTCCCACAGGGGAGCAGAAACCACGTTTCCCCCACCCTCCCACCCACCTAGCAAGTAAAAATACAGGCAGTTCATGTCAAGCCTTGGAGAAGACAAGGGCCTTCCCCAAAGAGAGTTTCAGCAACTGCTTGAGAATATATTCCTTAAAGACCCCATCCCAAGGTAGACTAACCAGAGACAGCTGGCTCCAAGTATCATAGTCATTAACTGGGTAAATGAGTGAGGGAGAGGCCCCCACATCTATTAGGAGTTGGAACAGTGAGAGAGTCAGCGTCCAATATGTCGGAAGGCAGCTGATTATCAGCCAAACACATTCGGCAAGAGGCTCTTAGGTCAGCGTCCTGATTTAGGGCCATGAAATGAAGCAAGGCACGTAGGGGACTTCTGACCATTGGCAGGGGTTCCAGCAAAGGAGGTCAAGCTGGAAAATAGTATTAGAAGAGAGAGTTCCGTGGGAGGGCCATACCTCTGGATCTGGGCGTTTGTCCTGAGGCCAGGAAACATCAGGCTTTGGGAGCCAAATTTGTTAAAGAAGACAGCCCAAGAGCGAGGAGGTGGGAAGGACAGGCCGCCGACTCCCAAAGGGACCTCCCGCCGAAGGTAGTGCAGCTCTGACGCAGGTCTCGATTTCAGTCAGGGTGGCCTGCTGACCTGATAAAGGACTGCACCTAATAGGAGGTGGCGGACTCTTCTGGTGGCGTCCCACCCCAGACAGGAGTCACGGCAGTTTCGGGACGAAACTTTTTGGGGTGCCCGACCGAGAGGGTCCCGGCAAAAGGCATGGAACTTCCTGTTGGGGCGTCCCTTGGCAGCAGGGATAGCCGGAGACCACCGTGACCAGACCGAATCGGAACAAGGAGAGGGAAGACTCACCCCCTCAGACGCGCGGAAACGCATTGTCCGCAGGTCAAGATGGCAGCTGGATCCCCGGGGAACAGAGGCAGAGGGGCGGAAGGAGAAAGAAGTGAGGCGGCTGAGAGCCTGTGTCTGGAAAGGGTCCCAACAAAGTCCACATCCTGTGCGGATTCGCCCCGGGCGAACTCTTAATTGCCGCAGACTTTGGGAACAGACTGCGGAGGACAGAACGAGAGAGCAACGGGAAGGGGTTCTTTACCCGCACAGGTGCGAGCAGTCTGACCTGTTTGCTCTCAGACCTTCAGGCCCCACCAGGGGGCTATCCTGGCCAGTGGCCTTCCATTGTTAGAGGAGTACTGTAAAAGATAAGATTCTGTAGGCAGAGAGGGAAAGGTAAGGAACTGAGGTCCCCGGGAGGGGGAAAGCGCTTCTTTTGAAACGATGCTGGGAGTGTCTGACCACCGCAAACCCCTCAGGCTTAAGGTTCCTCTTAAGAATGTGACAGACAACACCTACCCACCCCTCAGGTTTCCCTCAGGAATTTGACAAAAGACCTGACTAAACATAAGGACACCTTCAAGGATCACCCACAAGCAACTGGTATGGCCATAGACCACCCCTCATACAATAGGAGCCAACCAATCCAGTTGGTCAACTTAGGCAATAAGGGTAGAACCAGAGAAGAAAAGGGGCCAATCAAAAATTTATAAAACAAAGTCCCTTGTCCACAGTGTGTGTGGGGGGGGGGGGGGGGGGTATTCACTTTCTAATGCCCCCACTCTGAAAAGAGAGCTTTGAGGCTATTCTTACTTTCTGATCTTATACTGTAATAAACTTGTGCCTGCTGCTCATTTTAGCCTGTGTCCACCTCTTCATTCTTCCAAGCTGTGAGACAAATCCTGAGGTAAAAAATCCTGCAAGAGATTGCTGGTAGGAATGCAAACTGGTGCAGCCGCTCTAGCAAACAGTATGGAGTTTCCTCAAAAAATTAAAAATAGAACTACCCCACGATCCAGTAGTTCTACTACTAGGTATCTATCCAAGGGATACAAGTGTGCTGTTTCAAAGGGGCACGTGCACCCAAATGTTTATAGCAGCGCTATCAACAATAGCCAAAATATGGAAAGAGTCCAAATAAATGTCCATCGACAGATGAGTGGGTAAAGATGTATGTATATACCATGGAGTTTTACTCAACAATCAAAAAGAATGAAATCTTGCCATTTGCAACAAATGTGGATGGAACTAGAGTGTATTATGGTAAGCAAAATTAGAGAAAGACAAATATCATATGACTTCACTCGTATGTGGAATTTAAGATACAAAACAGATGAACATAGGGCAGGGAAGCAAAAATAATATAAAAACAGGGAGGGGACAAAACTCTTAAATACAGAGAACAAACAGTGTTGCTGGAGGGGTTGTGGGTGGGGGGATGGGCTAAATGGGCAAAGGGCATTAAGGAGGACACTTGTTGGGATGAGCATTGGGTATGTAAAAGGCGAATCACTGGATTCTACTCCTGAAATCATTATTGCACCATATGCTAACTAACTCAGATGTAAATTTAAAAATAAATAATTATATATATATATATTAACAACAACAATAAAATCCTGCAACATTACTAGGGTTAGACTACTAAAGAGCCAAAAAGAGAAAGGAGGGAGTGGAGGGTCCCTCCAGAAGGCAAAAGGTGAAATCATTCACACTTTCAGGCAAGGGTGATGTGGCTGGTTCCCCCTTGGGACTTCGGATCCTCACCTAGAAGTAACCTCTGCTGATGCACATCATCAGTTCCCCAAGGAGTACTAGAGTTGGTCCACCAAGGAAAGTCCCAAGAGATTCCTGGAGAATCTGGGGAGAGCAAAGGCTCCTTGTGCAGAGTTCCCCCAAGTGTGGGGTGGGCCACAAAGTCCCCCCATATGGGACACCAAATGTGGTGCCTAAATGGGGTGTCTCTGGATCAGATGGGGGCCCCCAAATGTGGGGGCAAAGATCAGGTGGAAGTTGGTGGCACTGAAGGTAAAAGAATTCACCTGAGGCAGAACAAAGCAGGTAGAAATTTATTGAATACACCACTAGGGAGTGGTGGGCAGGACAGCAGAGGAGAGACTGTCCACCGGGAGGCAGTGGGTGAGGGCTGCTTTAAAGGGGGAAGATGAGGAAGCATGGCAATGTATGGAATCTTCCCTTTTTCAGTAACAGTGCCTAGTTCTAAGTAGCCCATTGGTCAGTTAGTGCCATATGGATATATGCCATATATATGTATATTTCCAGGTGGGTCACCTGATGGGCCTGTTTAAAGTCAGCCAGGTGTTGCCTGTGGGCCCTTTCTACATTACATCGTTCAAGCCTGTTTGCCTGAAAGCGGCCCCTACATTCCTCATGGTATACAGTCTTTCACAAGTGCTTTTAGTCACAATGAAATAAGAATACCAACTGCAATCAACTAGGAATGCACAGAGAGAGTGTGATTTTATACATCCTAGTTATTCATAAACTGAATTGATTTCAACATGTCTTGGGCCTGGGATTATAAATAACATCTGAAGCAAGATTTTTCCAATATGGAAGAATATTTTTTTTCTGTAAGCCCTTGACCTTGAGCTTGCTATCCTAAGCCCCCAGACACTTGATTCATTTCTGGACACCTGATTGCCACTGCTAAATGCATTCTGTTCTCATCTATTGCCTGTTCAACTTCTTTGGTTACCTGGATGCAACTCCTAGATTCTAGCCTGTGCCTGTATTTCTATACTTACTCTCCTTTTTAACCTGATTTTAACCTAAAGATTTTCCTTGTATCTATGTTTATGTACTTTCATTCAGTATATTTGGGCTTCTGGCTTCTATTCCCAGACATATCCCTCCTCTGGTGGCCTCTTGACTGAAATATAATTAATATTAAAATGTGTTTGCCTTTCCTGAGTATACAACAACCAGTGGCAATAGGAAGAATATAGAGAGAAGGGCCTCCTTCAGTTAAACATTCTCTGTGGAGAGTCTACAAATGATACAAACATTGCTAGACAATCAAAAGCTCGTTGTATTGAAGGCTGATTAATTTTACCTAATTATTCAATTCTTTTATTATCTGAAACATTTCCATTTCTCTTTATTATCTACCTTTTTACCATTTCACTAAATTGAAATATTAACATTTCTTAAACCAATATCTAAAGTGAGATTTAGAGGAGCGCCTGGGTGGCTCAGTCGGTTAAGCATCTAACTTTGGCTCAAGTCATGATCTCATGGTTCGTGGGTTTGAGCCCCATGACAGGCTGTGTGCTGATGGCTCAGAGCCTGAAGCCTGCTTCAGAGTCTGTGTCTCCTCTCTCTCTCTGTCCCTACCCCACTCATGTTCTGTCTCTCTCTTCTTCAAAAAAAATAAACATTAAAAAAAATTTTAAGTGAGATTTAGAATTTGTGAATTTCAGTGATTTGTGCACCATTGTCAAATCAAGAGTCAACACTTTCAGAAGAAATACCTAAAATCTAGATAGTTCCAAAAGATTTAAATATTTCGTCATTCTAAAACTGAGGTTTTCAGGGGTGTAGCAAGAAGAAAATGTATGCCAACTTTTCTGAAAAGTAGCGGGGAGTCAACTTATTGATGCCAGTAGCTAAAAAATTGCTTTAAACTAATTTCCTTTTGGATAATTTGTACATTACATTTTCCACTCACCTACCTTTATCCTTATATGTGTTGTTTTGTCTGGCTGTTATTATATAAAATATATGTTTCAGTCACTACTTAAAATTCAGGGGCATAATAAAAACAATTTAATCCTTTGCCATTTTAGCATTTCGCTACACTGACAAGAATACACAGCATTGAAAAAAATGAGGATATCATTTTTTATCATGTTTTAATCTTACATCTTAAATCTATTCTTGTATCTTCAATCAGTTCTTTCTTATAGTTTTAGCTATTTGAGTATGGCTGCTTTGTTAGGCAGGATTTTTTCCAAGCTTCTTTTTTCAGTTGCTTTCCAAAGGTGCAAAAATAATCCTGTCACAACAGAGAAGAAGAGCTTATAAAGATGCTTTAAAAACCTTATCACCAGGAAACAGTGCACAGTGCATTGTATAATATAGTGTCTTAAAATACTTCTGCTTACCTCCTCATTGATGCTGCTACAATATTTACATAACACTGCTAACTAATTCTTCATTATGTAGATTATTTATCCTTTCTCTTGGAGACTGTCTTCCCAGCACATTTAATATTATCGAAGAGAGGCATTGTTTTTATTTCTACCTGTTTAGCAGCAATGTATCTCTTCTCAGTTCTGGGGCTCCATTAGTGGGTCAGGATTCATGTTTACTGCTCCTTGGGGTAAGAAATGAAAGTAGGAGGAGGTCTGTGGCAGGACAGAGTCTTGGCTAGCCATCAAGGCAAGTTGTTTATGGATGCAGGATGGGTTATTTCAAAACCTGAAAAAAATAAAAGAAAGGAGCAGTTGCGGTTCAGAGGAACAGTTGTCCTGGGAACAAAAAAGTGAAAGTGGAAACTAATATTTTTAAAAATATTTCAACAAAAAGACACTTTTAGTACAAGATACCTTAGAGGCTGGGGAAAATTATTTGAAGCATTAAATATTTTCAAGACTTTCTGCATTGAATACATTTTTAAACCCTAGGCAAGATGTTTTTTGTTAACATTTCATGTTGAAGAGTTGATTCACATCAGAAACAAACAAACAAAAAATCCTATTTCCATGTGACAGAGGAGCACTCCAAGGCAAATAGCATATAGGCATTTGGCTCTACCTAGTTTCAACCTGAAGGTCAATCCAGATGGACAAGGCCTTTGAGTTCCCTCTTTAACACTTCAACACTCTGTTAAGCCTCCTTTCCCATTAATCTTGTTGTACATGTGTCTACCATTACAGCACAGTGCCTCAGGCCGAGATCACCTAGCTTCCAACACCGTTGTTGGTCCCACTCCACAAATAAGTCACCTCATCAAGCAGCAACCAACAATGTCTTGGCTCATACCCACACCCTAATCTCCTGACGCTTAAATACACTGCTTCTCAAATACATCCCTCCTCCAGAAGCTAGGGAAATGAAGCCTAGAGGTCACTTCCAAGCTAGGTTTTTCCATGATTCCTACCAATTCCCCAAGCAACACCAAAGGCAGATATTTACAGTAATAGAGTTGCTGACCTGCCTTAGATTTGCTGAGGGAAAAAAAAAAACACATCCAGGTTAACGTTTTTTTTTTTTTTTCTTAGCTGAAATGATCAACATCTAAATTTTAGAGGTTCTACAAACCTGTATATTTTGATGTACTAAACCTGGCTGTGTTTATATATAGAGTGGCCATCCACCCTTTTTCTCACCAAGTCAAACAATAAAATCAGGATCATTCTGTCAAATAAATGCAGTAGTCTTTCCAAACCAAATGACCAAATTCATATGGTCATTTAATGAGCAAATTACACCTTTTAATATGTCTAGCTAAACATTAAAGTCATGTGATAATTAAGGCTTTGAATACATATATATATATATATATATATATACACATATATATTACTAGAGTATGAAACCTTCCCTATTTCTTATAAAATTAAAAAAAAATATTTATTGACTAGTAGAAAAGTGACACTGAACTGCGGACTTTCACAAAGTTGCTCCTCAGTGATGCTATGAGTTGGATTTTAACATCCATTCAAACTGAGGAGAAAAACAGCCTCACAGAGAACAAGTGACTTCCCAAGGTTACTCAAGCCATTAAACAAGCTCTGATTCAGTTCTCCCAACTCCAGCCCCAGTGTTATTTCCACTACTTGATGCTGCAACTCTTCATTTGAAAATTTAATCATAAAGAATACTATATCATTAATCTACCAACATGTTTTCATTCCACCTTGTAAAATTTGCTGAGTAAAAATGCTGTCCTCTGTTAAACTGCATAACCTTGGACAGGGCTAGGGTAGTTCTGATGTATTGAAACAGATCTGATTACAAACCTACATCAAACTATAGGATTAAAAATTTGAAAAGCAAAAGTAAACTTTAGAGCTCACAGTTCTGTTTCCAGCAAGAATGTTTTTAGATGATTTATAATGGGAATTTTTCAAATTACTTATTATAATAAAAATACTTGATTGTACTTAGTAACTGTACATAAGCATATTTTAAACCATTTTAAGAGGATGAACATGATTTAAAACTCCTTATACTAATTTCTGCCTGATGTAGAGGACTTATAACAGATGCATTAAGGAGATTTAATGAACTTCACAAGGATAAAACTTACAACAGAGCACTTTCTTTAATGCTGAATTTTAACTCTTATACAATACTAGTTTAAGAGTACATTAATGAGCTTTAAAAAATCTAAGTAGATTTAATGTGTTTGGGGTTTTAGTTTTTGTCTATCCATAATGCAGAAGGGTGTGTTGTCTCATATGAAATTTTGTTGAACTGTAGATAAGTCATTTTTATGATCCTGTAAATAGCACTACATATTATATTAAGTGTTTTCAGTAGGTATTAAATAGTCATTTTGACTTAGTTCCACAATTTACATGCAATACATTACTTTAACTTCTGGACCAAAGAATGGTATGCTAAAAGTGCTATTTGACAACTGGACATAACTGAATGACTACTATTTTGTTAAAATGAAATTAATAACAGGTGCAGCCATTTCATGTGCAGTGTATTCATCTCTGGTGCTTTAGATTCTTATGCGATTTGGGTCGTAATGTAAATAAAATACCTTTTGTCCTTTCTGTATGATCCCCAGTGGGCATTTGTTTGCATTTTCTCTACACTAAGCAACCTACTACTGTTTACAAATATCAAGGTAGGAGAAAGAAAGAAAGAAAGAAAGAAAGAAAGAAAGAAAGAAAGAAAGAAAGAAAGAAAGAAAGAAAGAAAGAAA